ATGAGTCTTTCTGTAAGATAAAGTATATTTTAAAATGAAATGGAGATCTTTTTTAAAGGTTAGAAACTTATTCAATCTTATGTCTTACAGGGCTTATACTGAGTTCAATACTGTATAATTGTATTAATTCAACTGGGAACCTAAAAATTTACAGCCACTTTTGAAAGAGATATATCCTTGTTCTGGAAATCGTTACTGAATATGTTAACGCTGTAATGAAAAAAAAATATTTTTAAAAAGTTTCTTTCTGACTTATGAGCAAATGTTTGATTTGTATACTTATTATATACCATATTCTGGATCACATAAAAAGTTGTTTGCAAAAGGGCATTAAGGCTACAAATAGTTTAGGAAACTCTGGGGAAGGGACTGTTCTGACCTATGAAACCATGAGCAGAGAGGAAGAGTGCAACTTTAGGGTTTGAATCCAAATGCTGGCATGAGAGCCTTGGAGCTCTTTTTTTCCCACTCCAGTATTATGTCCAGAAGTATTCCCAAGTGGCTATTTAATCAGGAAGGGCTCACAGTTCAGACAACAGTGCCTAGAAAGTCCTAGGACTGACTCATAGAAATGTAATATATATTTAAAAATTAACATTTGGGTGCTGGAGAGATGGCTCAGCAGTTAAAAACACTGTTTTTGCAGAAGACCCAGGTCTGATCCCAGCATCCACATGGTAGCTAACAACTGTCTGTAACTCCAGTTCCAGGGGATCCGACAGCCTCTTCTGTCCCCGGTGGGCATTGCATGACAAGGGTACACTTACATACATGCAGGCAATACACACATACACATAATAAAAATGTTTTTTAAAAAATGAACATTTACTGGTGTCTCCTGATTGGCTAGTTCCTCCAATGGGTGGGGCCTGACTCAGAGCGTGAACTATGAAGGGGCTGCTTGGAGCCATCTTGGGATGGAAGCCAGCAGCTCAAAAACAGAATGGACTGACTCTTGTGGACCACGGGTGAGATTGCTGGCCCCTGAAGCATGAGCAAATGTTAGCGAGGACTATGGTAGCAGTGGCTCGGTCTGATATGGTGAGCTCTGAGCCATGCTGCCAGAGGTGTGGGGCTAGGCACTGGCTTCTCATTCCTTTGTAAGTTAATAAATGTACATCAAATATATTATACGGTTTGTCTGATAGCACAGGAGACCCAGAGGGAATTCGGGCCACAACTGGGGACTGGTATTACAGCTCAGTTAGTAGGGTGCTTGTCTAGTGGGCACAAATCCTGGGTTTGAGGGTCAGCATCACATAAAACTTGGCTTGTTAATACATGACTATAATCATAGCACCTGAGAGATGGAGGCAAGAGGATCAGAAGTTCAAGATCATGCTCAGCTGTATAAGTGCTTTCAGATGCCACCGTGGTTTGTATCTGATCCTGATTTGATAATCAATCAATTAAAGTAAATACCGATTATTTTAAAGTACCGAGTACTGAGGATTGCTAGTATAGCATAGTCTAGAATCTAGCCTCTCTTTCTTACTCTCACATCTCGGTAATATTTATCATCTGCAGAATATGCTTATACGTGTAAATGCATTTAGATTTTTCTAGGAAAAAGTATTTATTAGGTTAGGTGAAAAGCGCCAAGACTGTTTTCCAATGTACGAAAGACTGAAGATGATCACAGATTTCCATTGCCAAGAATAATGCAGTGTCGTGTCAACATATTACACAAACACACACACACTCTCTCTCATTCGTCTGTCCATCCATCTATCCATCCTTCTGTCTATCTATCTATCTATCTATCTATCATCTATCTATCTATCTATCTGTCTATCTATCAATCATCTATGTATTTGAACATATCAAGTTCCATTATGGCAGGTCACAGGAAAGTGCAATACCCAAAGCACCCAGGTCTTATACTTAAGAGAACTCAGGTCTCAACTCCAGGTCTGCCAATAATTTCTTAGTTCCCTGAACTACTTCTTTGACAATGTGGGCCTTATTTTCCTCATCAGTAAAATGGTGATGTTATATTTCAAAGGCACCTCTATGCTCTAAGAAACTGTTACAACACATAAGAGATCTTGGTCATGCTCTCTACTTTTACCCTGGGGTCCTGTAGATTGAGTCAGCTCATGAATGGACTCAGTGAGCCCATCATCTTGAATCTGTCTCAGTCTTCATACATTTAAAACAGACAGTGAGAGTTGGGACAGGTAAACTCTTTAAGGAGATATTGAACAGAGCTAAGAACCCTAACTCTATTGCTTATTCCAGTGTTTTCTGATGAAAATTTCCACTTATGAATATGAATGAGCTTTAGGGGTTCATAGGAAAGGCTATGGTCAAAGAATCAACTCACTTCTGAATTATAGTAACTTGTTGGGTTAAGACAGAGACATAAAAGGAAACCACGTTTAAAACATCAAGATGGTCATACCATTTCAGGAGAACTCTTTCTAGAAAATCTTTGACAAAGGAGTTTGACTGTTGGTAACTGCAGAGGGACTTGGTGCCTCAGGAAGAGGCGGCTCAGCTGAGACTGGTGGAGAAACCCAGAGGAGATGGGGTCCAGGGTCTCCAGCTCTTTCTGAAGTTTGTCTAACAGGCTGGAACTGAAAGGCTGTGACTTGAATTCTCTTCTGACCAAGGCAAGTAGGAAAGAATCTTCTCTTGTTATTCTGCTTGGCCTTTGGACCATATCCTAACACAACAAAGAGGAGAAAATGTAAACAGAGCTCTGAACTAAGATGAGTAAAAGCC